GCTAATGAAAGGGATTTTTTTTTAATGTCCATTCCTGAAAGAGGAGGTGAGTGAACTACTGTGGAAGAGAAGAGCTCCAGGAGGAAATCCTTCCTTGGACATTTTCAGATTCTCCCCTCCTGGTGGTTCAGAGTCGCGGTAAGGTAGTGCTTTCAAATAGGAGAGCTGGCTCAAATATGAATGTAAGCCTACCAGGGTCAGGCCTTTTCTAGCCACCTGTCCCACTGCTGTGTGTGAGGAGAGAACGGAAGCAATGACAATTTTGTGCCCAGTTAACTTTGTGCCACCCAGTGTGGGCTTTTAGAAGGGCAACTGCCAGTGTGGGCAATTGAGAGACAACTCAGCTCTGTCTAGCACTATGTGATACTCCACTTGCAGAATAGTCTCTGCAGCTGCTAAGAGCTGGTACACCTCACTGGCATTCAATACAGCTACAGTAAGTTTATATCATTGTGCCATTTTGAAGCCCCAGCTCTGTAAAGTGTAGGTTGTGATGCACAACAATGGTAGATAAATAATATCCAGTTATCAAAATCAAACATCTCTGTTAGACAAAGTAATAATGTTTTGAAATGAAGGTGCAGAATTGCAGCCTTTTGCAGAAACCAGTCCAAGGCTTCACCTGTTACCTGTATCACTAGAGCTATGCAGATGATACAAAAACTACCCTGAAGTGGCTCAGCACCAGATTAGAATAATTTCCTTCCTATGGCCTCACTCTGAGGTGTTTCTCACACCATGAAGACTCTTAGAAAAATATTTATTTGCATGTTAATAGTGGGAGTTGTAATCTATTCAAAAGGGGCTAATAGTTCTGTCAACTTTATGACTTTTCCTTTGTTGTGCAAAACAGCCCGTCCCATTATGATGCAAATGATAGATCCTGGGTTTTAACCTTTGAAGCTACTTAGTTTGGGTGCCTGCAGTTTTTATTGTCCTGAACTGAGCTGCACTTTCAGGCTATTTAGGGCAGGATTTTTCAGGCTTGGTTTGGCTGAAAAAAAATCAACAAACCCCACAAAAAAACCCCAAAAGCAACCCCTCAAAGCCAACAGTCCCACAATTCCCTCAACCAAAAAAAAAAGCCAAAACAAAATCCACCCCAAATAAAAGCAAAAGCAAATCCCCCAGGCTTTCCCAAAACAACAACAATAAAACCCCCCAAACCCTAAAATCTAAATCTCAGTTTCACCCTACTTTTGAAAAAAAATCTGTTTTCCCATAGAATGAACACGGTTGAATGAGCTAAGCAAAGTATTTCCATCTTTGATGGCAAGACCTTTGTTTCTTTACATCATTGCAGCTCACAGTTAATTCCCTTTAAGGGCATCCATGCTCTTGGATTGCTTCAGTTCCTAAGGGATCCTGTTAAAACCTTGGTCAGAGTGGCTTTGGCACATAACACTCTTTGACCACTTTTTATTTGACATCCACTCCCAGCAGAACAGGTAGAATCAGGTACATGCTTATGTCCTGCTGCCGTGCAAAACAAATTTACTTTGCTCATACCACTGCCTGCCTTTACGACAGACAAACTATGTAACACGTAAACTGCTGCCATGTCTAAATGCAGTGGATAAGATTGACATTTGAGGGGCAGCAACAAATGACAAGCATGGTGACATCTATCAGTTGTGATCACTGATCAGTTGCTGGTCTTTCTCAGTATCAGGACTGCATTTAACCAGGTGTAAAAGCTCTATTCAGAATTATGAATCCAGATCTCATTGGGCTGAGGTTGCCAGCAGACACTTCTTGAACTTCAACAAAACAAATGCAAAGCCCTGCAGCTGATAACAGATCAGCACCTTGCAATAATGACTGGAGGGAAAGCAGCTTTGAAGAAATGGAATTAGGGTCCTAAGTGATGAGTTGAACATCAGTCATAGTGTGCTCTTGTCTTGCTGACAGTTACCTGTGTACTGGACTGTGTTGATAGGTGCATATGAGGCAGTTTAAAGGGAGCAATTTTTTCCCTCTCTGCTGCTCTCAAGATACTGCCTCCAGAATACTGTGTCCAATTTGGGGGTCTTCAGTACCAAAAAAGTGATTTATAAACTAGACAGACTCCAGTGGAGGATTAAGAAGATTATTAGGAGACTGAAGTATGAGACACATGAGGAATGGGACAGAGAGTTGTTTTGGAGTCTGAAAAAGAGATGGCTAAAGGGGAGCCTAGTTGCTGTCTTCAACTACTAATGGGTGACTGTGCAGAAGACAGCACCAGAGTCTTTCAGAGGTGTGCAGTTATGGAATGAGAAGAAATGGACACAACTGACAGTGAAGGAAATTCCATCTAGATAGAAGGAAATTTGCATAATGAGGTTCATGGGGCACTGGAAGACATGGTTGTAGACACTCAAAAAACCACTAGCTGAGAACATGAGCTACTTAATCTAACCTCAAAACTGGATCTAACTTTTCAGTAAATCTTGCTCTGAGCAGAGGCTTGGACCACATGTGTTTCCAAAGTTTCTTTCAAACTAAATTATTATGTGATTCTATCCTTCACAAAATTGACAGGAACTCTGATTCTTCCAACAGTACCTCTCTTCTGTGTTGCTGCTTGACATTCCTTTGAAATCTGGTAATTTGTTAATTTTTCAAAACCAAGCCACTTTGAACAAACTGAATGCATCCCTTTTTGTGCCTAACAAAAGTACAGATCTTCAAAAGTACCACTGTTAAAACTTGCCTCTTCCATGCTGTAATGGGCACTCACCCAGTTTGCTTAGGTCCATTCAGTGATCTACTCTGCCTGTGCAGTACTTGGCAAGCAGAAGGGCTTTAAGTTTTATTATATTATCTTTTGAGTTCAGCTTTAGCAGAAGAGTTAACCCATTGTACACAGTGGCACTGCAGCCTCACTCTGAGGGGAAATCTTTAAACTCTGCACTTTGCATGGATTTATGGGACAAGACTGTTAACATTCCTGACATTTTAAGTATGATCAGGGCCTAATTCTGTTGTTCTAATTTTTAGAAAAAGCAGATTGATTTGATGTAATTTGTTTTCAAACTGTATGACCATATACTGGTCATTCCCTCAGTTTCCATCACTCATTATGTATGTATTTGATTAGAAAAGGAGAAATTATGTTGAAAGCAGTATTATACCTACTCCCTGCTTATTGGACTCAACTCATTAAAATTATATAAATTACAAATATTATAAATGGCTGAATGGTGTTTGGTGTAACTATGCAGACTGAGGGGAAACAATATCTCAGTAATACGAATGTCCATTAGACTGATCTTTCTGTAGTTTATTTCAGTTAAAACTCTGATACTCCAGACTCTTTGTATTAGATAGTGAAATCCTTCCGATGCAATATATACTGTTGAAATCTTTCTTGTATGTCAAAGAGCAACTTCAGAGCTGATACATAGTTTGCCTGCTCCATGGTACTTCCAATACTCTACTGAAGCATGTTCCTTCTTGTGTTGCAGAACCTGGGAAGAAGGGAAAGTTCTTATTTTTGATGACTCTTTTGAACATGAAGTATGGCAAGATGCTAAAACTTACCGCCTGATATTCATTGTGGATGTGTGGCACCCTGAGTTGACAGCACAAGAGAGACGCACCCTTCCTGCTATTTAAGAGGTTACTTCTGATGTGAAAAGCAGGGGAGTTTTAATCCTTTTGGAATATGCCAACAGGATTTGCTTATCCAGCATATGAAGACTACAAGTATTCTAAGAGTTAGAAGACATGAGGATGACATTCTACAAGCACGAAGGACTTGATTAAAAAAAAAAGCAAAAAAAAAGCCAAAAAAAAAAAGCCATTCTTTTTTCATACTGATACAGCACTGATATGATTTTTTTATTTTTTTTTCTGGCTGCAAGTTTGAAAATACAAATCCTGTCAGCCAAAGAGCAATAGGTCTGGATTTTCAAGCTGAGGAATGTGCAGATGCTTTTGTCGTGTCTGTATTATGTGTACAAAACTGGTCACCTGCTCAACCATGTTCAGGCATGAGATTTGTAATTCTACATCTGGGAGATACTTCCCAGGCTTTTATTTGGGAAGCAACATGTAAGATATTTACAAACATATGCACAAAACCAACTTTGAAAATCAGTATGCAGTTGTAATGTTAGCTGCTTAAGGCATAGAACATGTCCCTGTGTTGCCAACTGTAGATAATGTGAATGGATCATGCGTGGTTTATATTTTTTTCTACCTGAGTAACTGTATTTTTCTAGCATAATTATGAACAAATCTTTAATCAACCACTATTTTAAAAAATATTATATATATGTAAGTGCATGTCTAGCTATCAGCAGAAGGAAAACACTACGTATTTCATTTTTGCCAAGCGTGGCCTTCTCTCACCTTCCTGGAAATGCAAACAAAAACTTGCATAATCAGCTGCTTAGTGAAGCTTTGTTCTGCTAAAAAAAAAAATAAAATAATAGTTCTCTTAGTTAGCAGGCAGCCTTCAGTTTGACAATGTGATTTTTGGAAGATGTTGAGCAAATGTGACATCTGTAGGCTCAGATCTGAAAGTGCCTGACAGTTCTTAGGACCATGTGGTGAACTGCTGTTTCTCCTGTCTTTACAAAGGCTTGTGTTGTGATATCCATTTTCTATCCAGCAAGAGTCTAAGGCATCTCCTTCCAGGGGCTCCTTCTAGGCTGTCCTTGGGTGGTCATTCAGCAGAAAAAATACATGAAGAATTTCGCATGCTTTGGGTAGAGGACAAGCTCTGACTTGGTTTCCTGCCAGAATGCAGAACACACAAAGGGCTTCATGTTATTAAGTGGTCTTAACTTCTGCTGCCAGCATCCTACAGGGTGCTAGAATGTTTCTTTAATTGACCTAATGATGTTTTCCTTGTCTTGATTTCTGTGACATAATGCTGAAGTAATTTTATCCCAGTACTGTTGACACTATGCTCTGTATTGGCCATACAGGATTCGCTGTATGATAAAAAGGCCTTATTTTCAAGAAAGAAAACTTGTTGGATATTTAGACAGTTGGCTGGTCTTTTGGGTCTGAACTGTTTAATGGTAGGACCTTATACTGTTTACTTCTAAGAACACTAAAAGGAAAGAGAGACCTGAGGTTTTACTGAGATGTTTATGGCTGGCTGTTATCTATTCAGCTGCAAAACCAGCTGGCTGTGGATCAGTGTGCTAGGATGCTCAGGGCTTGTCAAGAGCAGGGGCATCATTTTGGAGGGTTTTGAGAGACAAACACTAAGTGAGGAGACACTGAAGTTACTTCATCTCCACAGCTTTGGCTTTGTTGTCCAAAAGAACCTGAACAGTCATCTTATTTGTTTAATGTTCAGTGGTTTGGTACTGCAGAGACTACGTCATGGTACGTCTGGTATAGTGACCAGAATGCCATGTCTGCTCAAGCAAAATGCAGATAAGAGCCTGGTGTTCCCATCAACTGAATGCTTTTCAGATTTTCTATTTTACTAGGTAATTAAATCTTGTAATGCCATATAACTCTTGGTGATTGCACCATAAATTAGTGTAACCAGTTTCTGGAAGTGTGGACTTTAATTTCCTTTTTGACTATTAAACTGATAAACCCTCTCTGATCAAGAGTCAGTTTTAGACAGCTATGATAATTAGGCTTTAATATGTTGTCCGTATAAAAAATAACACTGAGACTATAAATAATATGCAAGAAAGTAACAGTTCTCAGTTAACCATCATGAAAACTGAAAAGATTTATAAGTTTCACGCTTAAGAAAATATCAAGATACTTTTGGAGACCTTTAGGGAATCATGTGCAAAACTGGAAATAAGGTACTCGTTATTGTGGGGGGTCATAGAAAAAAATTGTTTAATCTCCTGGTAGTTGTTTATTCAGAGGTTGTTTTGTATCTCTGTAAAGTGATCAAACAGTACAAATTATAAATAATTTTGTAGTTCTGTAAAATAAAAACACAGTTTGTAAAGAAAAAGAACTGATTAAACCAAAATTTAAGGTTTAGGAATATTTTTATTAATGTTACATTTTAGTTTCTGTAGCTGAGTAAATACTAAATGAATGGTAGAAACTTTTGGGGCTTTATTTGTAAAAATCCATGCCGTCCTTCAGATTGTTTCATTGTTCCTTTGAAGGCTAATATCTTTTTGCAGTTTCAATTGGCAAATAGATAAAAGTAATCTACCCAAGATATGTGTGTACTGTTTATTAAATTGTGGAGTGACATATTGGCCATTTAAATTCTTTAGTGCCTTGAATATGACAAGGTGCTTTATAAATAGCTCCTGCAACACTGAAGTGGATCTACTCTGTGCCTACCTCTCAAGGAGCTGAGAGCCTATATTTTTATTAGGTACCATTACTGCATTAGCTATATACAAGGGAGGATATATATAACTACACAAATAATGTAGTGAATAGATGGTGTATTACTTTAGCTATTCCTGTATACCAACCAGCATTTATTTCATTTTGAAAAAGTTTTTCACCATTGGAAATGCCAGTGGAAGAAGTGAATGGAAATGTTTAGGTTTTTTAAATGGAGAACCATTGCAATTTAAATACTTTATTTAGATTTATTTGCAGAGAGAAATGACAGAGTAGGGCAGTATTGTCTCCTGTTTGCAAGGCAGTACATACTTGTCACATTGTTAGGAGGTTGATTCCTTTCCTGTCTTGTAGTTACCTTGCTTGCAAGCACAGATTCTGATATGATCCTGCAGTTACATACAGGCATCAAAAGTTGTATACAAGGCATTACATGTATTTATTCATGTCACAGGTAAAGAAAATAAATAATTCTAATCTTCCATGAGGTTTAATCCTCTAGGGCTGGTATTTCAGTGATATTTGCACTTGGGCAGAACAAGTCTCACTTGAATGAACAGTGGTTGTAGCAGGTCATCACAAAGATTCAAAGGCAGTGGAGGTAAGTGAGTTAACAGAGAAAAATTGTAAACCAAAGTATTTCTTCATTAATGCTGCAGTACAACAGCCAATGTCTGTCTTTTTTTGTCTGTTTATTTTTTTACTTTCTGCTCTAAGTAAGTTCTCTGTGACAAATACAAATGCCTGTGAGTCTTCATGAGCCCAGGGAGGGGAACTGGGCCCTGTTACCAGGAGTTGATATCCTAGTTTTCTGTAATAGGCAGTAATGCCAGTGGAGGGGGAATGGAGGATATCCCAAAGATAAATGGGCTCAGTCCTCTTATCTGTTTAATGTTGCAAGCTTCTGCTTCTAACTCCTGTGTTGCCTTGCTGGGACCATCCACTGCCTTGAAGACTCACACTATCATGGAGGCCAGGCTCAGTATCAATGCTGCAGAAGAAAGTTAGTCTGAATGAGGCTACTCTGTACAAATGCTAGTGGGTACATCCCTGGTGTGTTGATAGGATCTGGCAGGATGTCTTTTCTGCCCTGTGCAGGATTAAAATGTTGTTGTAGATAATGACAGTGTTTTGTTAATCCATCCATCTGCTAAGGCAGACCATGTCCAGTTGAACTATATGATCACTTCAGTGTATCACTTATGAATATGGCAGATGTTCCAGAGGCACACTAAAAAATCCTGTGCCCATCATCATCTCATTTATATATATGGTTTATACTGCTACCTTTGATATGGTGTTGGCAGCTGCTTGTTCTAGCAAATTGTCAATGTCTGGCAGTTTAATTAAAGACTAAAGGTGTGTACAGTGGTTGTAACTGTTTTAGGAAATAAAGTCACTGAACATTCAATTCGATAACGATTTTTATTTCTTTAATCCAATTTCCATTTCAGTGAAGGGATGGGACTGTCTTTGCAGCTAGAGCAAATAAAGAACTAACAAACTGGTCTTTGGCATTTTAGTTCTTCTATTTTTCCAAATTTCCTTCTGGCAGTAGCTTGTATTGTAATTCATTCTAAGTTTTCCTTTTTCATTTTAACCATGGCCCTCACCTGCAATCAGAATACCCTTCTGGCGACACCTTTCACTGACTGCACAAGGGAAGGGGGGTAAATAGCTCTGCAGAGCTCTTATTTGCTGTTGAGACCTAAATGAAACAATCTGTATTGAACCATTAATCACTACTGAATGTGTCCAATGGGTCTCCCTCGCACCCCCCGTGCACACGTACACGTACATACACACACATGTATCTGATATAGGCTCCCCAGCTGCCTGTGGAAAAACACATTGTTAAAAATTAAATAATTGCATTTCAAATTATGTGTCTAATGCCCACACAGCACATTCCACCTAGCTAATAGTTTTATAAGGGCTTCAAAATTTAAAATTAATTTTCACTAGATACTGAAAGAAGTGACGCCCTCCCCCCATAAGCAGCATGGATGAGGCAGTCACAAAGTGTCATGTTGAATGGCATTATCAACTTTTTTTTTTAATGCAAAAATCCTTATGTAAAACTTAAGCACACTGTAGATGCTGCTGTTTCTGCTCTCTGGGATAGACTAAACTGCTGATTACAGTGTCAAGTTTAAATCTGAGAATCTTTCTTTAAAACACATTTAACCACTGCTTCTATAAAACCAAGCATCTCTGCTGGAGGCTTCAGGAAAACTTCCACAGACACACGTCGTTCCTTTAAACAGAGAATGCAGTCCCATTATTTCCAATATTTTAATGTCAGAAGTCAAAAAGAAAAACAAATTATTTGTCTATGGACAGACTCCTGTGTCGATAGAAACATCTCAGTTCCTCGTCAGCGCTGGCTGTATGGACAGATGGCTGGTGGCAGTTGTCACTTGCTCAGGACACATGAAGGACTTGTTCTCAAGCAAAACAGGTGCGTGTGTGTGTGTGTACTCTGGGGGTTATGGGTAGGGTGG